TATAAAGAGAAACAATTAAATGGAATGTACTGAATTCTAAATTTCACAATACGTTCTACAAGGTAAAATGGACGGTTATAAAAACGATTCAAATTATTGTTTTTCACGTTAGCGCTGCATTGTTATTTCAATTCATTAAAAAGCTTCGAACTCATCAAACTTGTGCTTGAATTAATTTAACCCCAGTAGTTTAATTTAATAAAATACCTGTAAAGTCCGATGAACTTTTGGGTGAATTGATGATACATATAATCCAATAGAACTTCTACAAAACTTCACTGTTGAATGGGAAAAAGATATAACTTGGTCAAAACTAATATATGATTTTTACTGGGGAATGTACTTTACAAACCACAGATTTTGACCCACTTAATATCGTTAATAACATCAGGAATATCAAAATGACTCTTGTAAAAACCGTAAAACTAAAATAAAATACGGATTTTTACGTTTCGGAAGACTAAGTGGTGCCTCATTCTAATTGCAGCTTATGTTTTAATCTGATGATGGTTGTTGTAACGGATTTTCCCTTCATGCTCGGTTTTGATTATCACACAGGGAGCAAATTTCTTTAACATTCAGTCCTCAAACCCACATCGGTCTAAAGTTTGTGTGTTGACGTCATTTATGATTTCGTTGGATTGTTATATGTTTATTGAAACTTAGCACTGATATCCATCAACCTTCAGGCCATATCATTCGTTGTTTACCAAAACTACTGGGTCACTATAACTATATTTGTCAATTACAGTTTGCCACATGAATAGATTCCAGCTAAACGATCGTTGAAATCTAGGGAAAACTCAACAGCTGTTTTATCATAATTCGGAACTCCACATAAGTGCGTACATAGGATCTTCAGACCTCTCGGAAAGCACATTGCCTTTCCGTCACTTAATTACAGTTATCGACGTAAGTCCTATTTGAAACAAGAAATATTGATGAAGTATCAGAAAGACTAAATTTCGATCATGGGTTAGTTCTAATCACATATGGATGAGTTATGTGTAAAATTTGCCATCGTTATATGATCATTAATGACAACACAGTGTCTAAGATGGTAACATTAAACGGGTTATATGCATGTAATTGCTTTATTTAACAAGTTTTGATGGGCAGTAAAGTATCGTTTACAGAAGGCTGAATATTCACTGCTTATCGTTATAGTGCACATCTATTGCCAAATAAAAGTGACGTTTGCTTATTTATTTTTCCTTATCAAGTTTCTTAGAAAAATTGTCAAATCAAGACAGTGGAAATGTTGGGAACGATTATACTTTCTATTGTATAAATTGCTCAAAGCTGGTGTATTAGTTTATCCTGTACCAAACTTAATTAGTGACAGTCAAGAGACAAATGATAATACGCCTTCAAGATTATTCTACTTATTGGATTGGAGTAGTGAGTTTGTTAAGTGTTTTTTTGTTATTATTGTATGTAACTTAATAACTTGTGCTAACTAACAAAATGCAAAGACACTAAGTTATATAGCTGAGAATCGGCCCCACTGACATAAATACATTTAGCCTTTGCCTTCCTTTAGATCCTGAGTTTTACAAATATCTTCTAATATTTATTCTATGGATTCATATTTTCATTCTCTTCTCGAATAATATTTTTGTCTGTCTGAAATCCAAATGCCTCATGTTACCTCATCCAACCCATATATTATGGGGTAAGATTTGGAGACATAATTTAAGAGATAACACTTTCATCATGACTTTTCACGGATTGATCTACCAGGAGACTGACTTTTTGACTTAGAATACGCAGATGATATAGTTCTTTTTGGTGAAGACGCTGACAAAGTGCAGTTTTCTGACCACCTCAAAAAACAGTGCAAACATTTTTCAGATGTTGTTCTCTGCCTCCAAATGTAAAATGCTACTTCACGATTGGCTCAGGTCATTATCTCAATCAGTGATAGAAAGTGAAGTCGTTGAACGCATCGGCCACTTCACTTGTCTTGGGATTCTCATCAGTACTGATGATCTGGTGCCTGACAAAATCTGGGCACAGATTCAGAAGGCTCTATTGGTTATAGCCAACTTACATCACTTGTGGCGTAGGCGAGGTAGTCGTTTTCCAACCAAAGGAGGAGTTTACTGCACAGTAGTTGGTCTGTTCCTACTTCGTAGATGAGAAATATGGTCATTAAGAATAGAGAATATTCAGAGGTTACTGGTATTCGATCATAATTGTTTACAAAGCATTATTCGTTCATGGATTAGGAATAGAGTACTAGATAATGATTGAGAATGGATTAATCGATAGTTAGGACGTGTTACATGTGTTCAGCCAATGCTAACCTCGACAGGCTGTTTTCTGGGGCAAAAGCAGGCTTGGAGGAAGCTGTGTGCGACTACACCAAAACATGGCACCATTCCATAAAGTCACTGACAATTAGACTTTGTCATGTTAATAGGTGTAGGCTACCTGGTTAGGGTTCGTGTGGTGAGCTTAACCAATGGTTAGAGATCTTGAATGATATGACTCAAAATGGTTTGCAATAGCCTAGGCTCATCCATTTCGAGATCTTAAATTCCTCAACTTTTTTGTTTTTATTTTGCTAATTTATATTTTCTTTTCGAGTCGTATATCTTCGATGCTTAATCTTTCTTATTACCACTGATACTGTTTTATCTCTGTTATTCTGGGATTTGGCCTGATAACTTCATCTCTTTGTACTAATGGTATGTGACAACTTTAACCGATGTACATACGTGCAGGTTCTACACTGTGACTGACTGAAAATTGTAAGGGCCGAACTAATTAGAAAGTTCACGATTGAAAGAATATAAACTTCAGTATCTAGTATTATTCATTTATATCCTTTTTTTATTTATTCCCTTAGAACTTTGTGGTTCATTCGATCTCTTAACATTAACATCAGATCTATTCAATTTATGGTGTATGTCATTAGAAATCCCATATAGTCAATTATTAAATCCTTTTCAATCCACCAATCATCTCTCTCATGATACTAGCAACAAACTATATTATCGAAATACTGAATTTTACATCCTTTGCCATTCATTATGTGATTTAGTCTCGTATTTATCCTCAGTCATTTCTTTATATTCAAATAAAAACATTAACCAGATTTGTAATAATGATAACAATAATGACTGTGATACTGTAAATAGTGATGATGATATTATCTCTTCATTAAAAATGAATCAATCTATACAATATAGTAAACAATTAACTATCAATTTACTTGATCAATTATCAAATCGTTTGTCGAATAATCTGATCTCGAACTTATTAATCAAATCAAATTCACAATTGAATGTTTCAAATGAATTGAATCGACTGAAACAGACAATTTTATTGATAAAAGATTTAAACAGAACTTAATAATGAATTGATGGAAAGAAAGAACGTTGACTTATGTACAATATTTACTTTCTTCCTAATCAAAAATAATAAAATTTATGAATAAAATAGTCTTTGTTGTGTTATTTGGAGGTCTGATTAAAGTAATCCATTTCCAACTTATATCTGTCATTTAGTAGTCGAAAATCTTCAATCTCTGATAGCTATCGTGAGGTGAACTTTGGGAAGCTAGATATCGGTTTAATTTGTGATAGTGCTGATTTTATTAGAAGGGCTAAGATCTCTTCTGGAATGATAACCACTCACACACCTATCAATTCGCTTTTCCGCATGACCTTTGCCCTCTGATTGGTCATCATATTTTTTAGTTCGCTAAATTGCTACATATTCTGTTACTATAGTAACAACTTTTGTAACAATTTCGTTTGAGTTGCTTGTTCTACCGCAACTATCATGTTACCTTCAACCCCATCTTCTTCCTATCATAGCCGTCGAAGTTTGATGTGTTGAGTACAATTAACTGTCGTCAGTCCCGAAGAGAACCTATCGTTTTCCTTTCTAAATCCATGGAATCATATACGATATACGACCTAAGGCCGTGCTGAACCCAAATAACAAGACACAACAAATATTTCGTAAGTAGACGAAATAACAGTAAGATCCACATATCATGGAAGATTTTCATGAGTGGTTTACAAGATAACAACCCTCACATGCAGAAGAGAAAATCCATACCGACGTTATTGCAAACGATTCTAAATTGCATAAACTGTCCTCCAAAACCAATAATTGTTACCACCATGTAATATTAACTAGAATCCTCACAAGACCCCATGCCCAACCCTCCTCCTTTACGCGGGCTTGGGACCGGCAGTAGCCTTAGAAGAGCTACAGATGGAGTTAATGTTCAGTCATCTGGATACCGTTTTTTCACCAGCTCCTTATGTGGGATAGATTTGTCAAACATGCGAATCTGTCAATTTGTTCAGTTTATGGGGATCTACAGAATAAACTTTTTATTCAAGCTGAAATTCTCTACTTGCTTATTTTATAAATACCTTCAGTTTCTTTATTTTTATAGTCCTACGCGTTAGAACGATGTTCTGTTGTGTAATACATTTGTATATTGAATTTCAAAATTAAATTGCTGAAAAGACACTGAAAATATCTTTAATGTGTAATATATCAGAACCCATGGTCTGAAATCAAGAAATACGACCACCACCTTTTTTATCAACGAAGTGTAAGGAAATTATTTCGGAAGTCCATGTTGACTTTATAAAATAAGATTACTGAGATACATATTTTTAAAGATAATTTTGAAGTTAAAGAAACGACATCAGTATTTTTCATACACATAGTTCCCTTTATCATTTTGAAAAGAGCAAGAACCAAGATTCTAACAGAATAGCATGAATTCATCAGTATTTATGACCAAATATTACGCAGCTTTCTTTCAGTGGACAGAAGACATTACTTGTTAAACACAATCTACCACTTTTTGATTAGACCACTTCTAAATAACATTTAAAACTTACATTTCCCTTAATTAGAGGGCACAGGTAGTTTATCCCCATATAAACAACAGAGAAATTAAAGAGAAAAATGGTATATTATATACTGTGTTCAATGTACTGTTGTACAAATTGTTTTCACCAAACCCAATCAATCACAAATAAATGATGACGCCATTCTGTGAAGAAGTTGTATTTAGGAACATACAGAAACACTTCATTCATTAAGCAATCTTTAATACAGATATAAAAATAAACCCCGAGGCGAGGGGATAAGTTACTTGAGGACAAAATCTAAACCGACTTAAAGAAATCATTATAAGTTTCAAAGTAAATTATTGCAAAAATATTCACACAGCATCTCAGGATAAGTAAAAGATCTATCAAAATATAGGTTATTATAGAAAGAAATCTATGTCTCCATTGCTACTGGAGTTAATTCACCGTAGACTACTGGAGAATTTTCAGAAATGCAAGTACCGTCATTTGAACTATTAGGCTCCGTTGTAGACCTTTCAGGTAACAAAATATGTAAGTAAGGATGTGTTATATTAACTGCACCCATAGCTGAAAGATCTGTATAGATTGCAGCATAGGTTTGATGAAACAATAAACCATCACCTGAGACACGACGACAATCCACAAGAATTGAACCAGCTAATGGATATAACAATACTCGGAAGGCAGTTCCTGGATGCTCCGGAGTTTTGATATCCACCTGTAGATTGAATGTGAAAGTTATATGTATGAATAACATACGATATATATGAAATGAAATACAACCAATTAGAAGAGTTTATTTTACAAATTATTCAGTAGAACCAACTAGTAGGAAGTGGTCTATGCAGTGGGATATGACAAAAGTCATACCAGTTAGCGTTATACACGGTTAATTAGATTTTAAATGATATGCTTGGAATTTACTCCTATTAATGTAGATTAAAATTAAAAATGACAGCATACACTGGAAGACAAAGTTACAAAGAAGAACAATTCATAATGATAGTGAAGTCTGTTATTAGTGAGATCAGAAATACACATAAGAAATTGCCAAAATCTATGTCATACAGATTCTGAATAATTAATGCTAAACAAAGTATACAACATACTAATGGTAAAAATTAATCTCTAACTTTGCTTTCCTAGATGACAGTTATATTCATCAAGTATGTCAGTGATAATAGATGCGGAAAATATACATAATGTACTTAGTTTAAATACTCGGGCTGTAGCATTTCAACTCGGTAAAAAAAATTATATGGATGACTCCACAATAATATAAACAACACTGTAACTACGGAGTGGAATGCACACAATTATCTGTAAATTTTAAAAATCGATGTAACTTAACCACCAAATACAGGTTCTTAAAATCGGTTGAGATATAATGCCTATGTGAGAACTCAGTTCGATCTGAAGGTGATGTATGGTTTGGATCTACCACACAGTTATTGAAATCAGAATGCTTTAGGCACTAATGTCATTTATAATAACTCTAGAAATATTAAATTTAATATAATATTCAGAAAATATTCTAATATAAAATAACAATGGTTGATTCATCCCTATTTTATTTAAAATCAGAATGTTAACATAGTGACTAGACGTACAAGTAGGTTATTTGATCCTTTGATTGTTGCCCGCAGATGTCTCCTTTGAACAACGACAGCTCGAATGACCTCCATTGTATGTTCTACTGAGGAGAGTGCTGAAAAGAATCGAGTCATACGGCGCATGAGACAGGAAAAACCAAGTCGATCCTTAACGTAATCAATATCTCCAACCATCTGAGACGCCTGAAATGAGAGCCAAATACAAAAATTCAGCAAACGGATGTTAAATATAACTATTGTGAGATTCCGTCTTCTTGATAGTATAAAAATCAATGGCTTATAACACTACTACATTAACACAGTATATTCACAAGTTGAAGAAAAAACTTACCATTAGCATACTGTCAATATCAGCCGGTTGAGATAAGTGAAGATTATTTATAATAGAATCTAATTGAGCATGACAAACTGGCGTAGGCTGAGATGAAGGTACTGAACAGTAAATAATGAAATAAAAAACAAAATAAACCAATGATTTTAATAATAAATATCATACGTCACAAGTAACACTAAAACAGTAATAATAACTACTGATAATCCCAAGGTCGATAAACGGACAAGTGATTGGCTTACGAAAACAAAAGAATTACAAATTTCGAAATCAAAATAATAATACAACTGACTAAAGTATGTATAAAAGCAATGAAGAGACTAATGTCATCAGAATGTTAAGTAATTCATCTATCAAGTGCGGATTTTATATACTCGGCAATTTTGAATCACATTGGTTGTGTTAAAGTTACTATCCAGCTACTAAAATAGAGGTGTCACCACTAATCAGTTTTTAAACAGAAATTTTTACCAACTACCTTAAGGATTATTAGTATCAATATTTAGCAAAAAACTGACCAAAAAATTATGCACAAACCTGGCGCATCTCCTTGATAAGTGCTGCGTGAAGTGTTGGTACGGTCGCTGTTTGGTACGACAGTATTTACAGATACACCTGAGTCTTGTCTGCTTCGCGGTGACGCAACAGGAGTTAGACGTCGGGCAAGACCAAGGCGATACCAAGGATGATTTTTAATGCATTCAATAGTAAGACGATCAGAAGGACGATGAGCCAAGGCTCGTGTAAGAAAGTTGGCTAAGTCAGGAGGAAGTCGGGAAAACACAGGACCTGTGTGCAAATCTTTATGTTCGGTCCACTGGCGATATACAGGGTCGGATGTATAACTGGCACGTGACCAACAACGTTGACCAGTGACAGCTGTGAGAAGTGTAACACCAAGTGAGAATAGGTCAGCAGGTGGTCCAAAGTAGGGACTAGATAAAGAAAGGTTTTTGAAACATAGTGATATTTATGGGGAATATCTAACAACAGAAAACAATTCAATCGTTAAAATCTTTTTCGAGAAACATCTGAAGACACTACTGTTTGTACATAAACTCCCATTGGTCAAAAACATCTAACAATAAATAACCCTTTGCAAAGAATCAACATATTATTGCTTCATTATTATACATATATCAGTGAGAATATTTAATTCTCTAGTTCTGTATATATAAAACAGCGACTGGGGAAAGAAGGAATTACGGAAATTCTTTGTTTGTTTTCCACAACGAAATAAACTAGGAACTCTCTTAAGGCGGAAAAATTCTGATTTGTGTCGACCTATAATTGTTTACCATATGGGGAGCACTTTTAAAGTAAAAGTCTGCAGTTTCATAAACGAAAACCTCTGATAGTCGTATATCTGACTGGAAATAGTTTTTTTTTCAGACAATAGTACAGAGATTGCTACAGTATTTGTCTACTTTTTAAACTAACTTCTATTAGATAAAGTGAAAATTAGATTATAACAGACAGCTTCAAATATTTGTAGCTTATACAGCACTAGATAATTGTAAGCATTACTCGGAAGTGATATGTTGGCATTATATTTGAAAATCCAGAGAGGAAATGAAGGATTTGGAGCAATTCATGTAATATTAAAAAATAGTAGAAAGGTATCTTTTTATACAAAAACTTATCACCGATAATCATAATCATAATGATAAGTAAAATATGTAATTACTTTTTTCCAAAAACTTCAGGTGCAGCATAACTTGTTGTTCCAACTGCTCCTTGAATAAGTTTTTGCTTTCGCAAATCTACAGCCCATCCAAAATCAATCAGTTTAGCTCTATCCTTCTTTGTGAGCATAATATTTTCTGGTTTCACATCTAAATGTGCTATTTGTTGATCATTATGAAGGTAATTTAATGCATCTAAAATCTGTGTACAGAAAGAAACAAATTTGAGGTTATTGACGTTGAATATTAAAGTAATCTTTTTTATATAAAATTGATTTCTTTAGGCTTTGATTATATATGAAAACAACGATTAGGATTTAGCTTGAACATTGGAGTCGTGCATTCCAAACTCATTAGAATTTCCAAATCGTAAACTGTACTTACGAGTCAATGTCTAGAATTATACGTAGATTATTAGTATTTATATTTCAATATTAAGTAGATTTAATCTTTAAACATTAAGAATCTCCAAATGTCAAAGAAAAAGAATCCATAATGACCATGACCAGTAGTAAACATACCCGACTGAACTGTTTCTCAAGGAAAATGGTAATTTAAGATAATAAGCATAAAAAACTAAATGCATGATTTCATCTACAAATATTTTGGTCAGTTTATGACAATGTAAACCATAGAAACAAAAAAAAAAACTTTGCAAAGTAACAATTAATGAATGATTATTTGTCCATGCTTCTGATAGGTATTCATTAAATTGTTCGTTATAATTATGCAAGTTCTATATGTATTCACCGCTATCAAATATACTAAATACATATCGTCTTTTTAATGACAACACAGTCTGAACAGTTTAGAATTAGACGGTGTCATGCATTCAATATACAAAATAGAAGAATATTCACATATTCAAATACCTGCGCATAGTATATAAACATCTGTTGAACGTGTAATCCTATACCAATTGGAATACGCTCAAACAATTCGCCACCAGGCAATAATTCCATAAACATAAATGTGAATGTAGGAGTATTTCTGTAAGATTAAAAATAAAGAACACAACGAATTTCATTAGTTATAATATATATGTGTCTGAAATATTAGTCTTATACTGATAACGCACAGAACAAATTAAAATACGTCATAGTAACATTTAAGCAGATCCGTCAAGTCATACATTATCAGGATTTGCGCAAGTTTCATGTCGATATTAATAAACATACTTGACCAAGCAGATAGTTACTGAACCATTGAATTAAAAATAATTGAAAAGATTTAGAAACTTGGCAGTTTGAGACATTTTTTCCCATGTTTTAAAGACAAGTAGGAACCCGTTAAGAAACGTTAAATATACGGAAGCAAATCTAAACATGCTACAACTAATACGACATTTATCATGTACGAAGAAAGATAAGGGATAAATGCATTAAACGTTACTGCGAATCGAATAAAAACACACTTATGTAACTCAACTGTTGTGGCCTAAATCCATTTATTTGTTTCATTCCCTTCGAAATGGTATTATTCTAATCCTTTCACTTCTTGATTTCACTTACTATTTGAACATTGTCTTCGGATTTTTCTCAACTGTGGGTATCATTCTTGTCATTACTGTTATTGAATTTTGATAGATTAATCAAGTGGTTAGGCAAATTTGATAAGACTTTGTGTTAGATATGCATATTTCTGTTAAACACATATTGCTTTTAAAATCATGTAAATCACCTTCTATTAAAAATCTTTTAAGTAGTTGGTCGGTTCATTCTCAATCACGGCTCATAGCTACTACACATATATTTTTTTGGAGGAAACAACAAACGGAGACGATTGGTATAAGTCGAAAACTAAACAGAACCGAACTTTTAATGGACCAGTGTAAAAAAAGTTCTTTAGATATCTTCCGAAGGATGTTTATCTAACTTTTAAGAGCGTGTCTGTGAAATGCAGTCCACATATAAAAGTAATATGAAAACATTTTCTAACAAAATAAAACTTGATGCTGAGTTCATTTTATAATATATATCAAAAAAATAAACATTCGTCAATGAAACAATGTCTACCTGATTCCATATAAAGTGGCAATATTGTGATGTTTTAAGCGTCTTTGTAACTCAGCTTCTTGGCGAAGTTCCGCCCTAACTTGTGTTACATTAACTTCAGTTTTTGCATTACTGCGAAGACTGCTTTGACCATATACGTTGACTACTTTTGCTGCTAAACAATCCTTAGTATCAGGATTGACAATTAAATATACTCTTCCAATTCCACCTTCCGCAAGGCAGTGTGATATTTGGTATCCTGGAGGCAAGATAGGTTGTGCTTCAGCTTTTATTGACTAAAATATTTAAAAACAGTAAAAAAAAGAATATTTAAAAACGATAATAAAATAGATGACATATTAAGAGTCTACAGTATGGATCAAATGGTAGAAATATGAACTGATAAGAAAGTAAAACGGATTTTGCCACAGACGATACAAAATATTTTCAATCATGTAGAAATATTCAAGGCCTATGTGAAAAGAAATATATTACGAATGAACCTTCCTGATTAGGGATATGCGTTCCAGTTAAAAGACAAAATAACAACAGGATCATTTAATTCTAAATTAACTGGAGGTTGAGCTGAGTTACCTCAAGTTTTTGTTTACCTTAGCTTAACCATGATCTATTTTTTGTAGAGGTCATAAAGAGCAAGAACTTGGTTCAGTATCAATGGTTTACTAATCGGAAACACAATAAAGAAACGTTGTAGCAAACTGAGAGATCCTCCAGTGCAATGTCTCAACACCAAAGCATCGTTTCTCCAGGCAAACCCCAAGTCAGTTTCATTAATATGTTGTTGCTTCATCAGTTCAGAAAATTATGGTGCACCTATAGCACGATTTAAAACAGTCATTTGGATTCGATAAGCATATTCATACTGTATGATTGACTGTTCCTAGCTGAGAATGCTTGAGAAATTTACATATTATTGCTATCTCCATAGTGCAGCTTGCATTTTTCGGTAACACTAATTGATAACAAAGTTTGATAATAATTAAACACACAAGAAGTTTTCGTACAATCATGAAATAGGAATACGCTTGATCTACATCATTTCAGGGGTGCTAACATAGACCGGTGCATGTCTGTACCGGGTTCTACGTTTATTATGACTATAAGAACTAGAAATGAACCATAAAGAAAGTAATTATGGGAACACGACGATTAAGTCCCGTACCATAAAACAATTGTGCTAGCATCAATAGGTAAATTACTAATACTACCGTGGTTTTCTACAGATTACGTGGTTCATTGAGTCACAATGCTTATATGCGGAGTTTGAATTGCAACCTGTGATCATTTGCGAATTGAAAGAAAAGCACTAGTTCTAAATTCTTGCAAAGACTATCTTTTACAACCTGACAATATTTGTAAAGTTAAAGGATATGACATAAAAAGGAACGCTGAAGAAATTGATGTGGAGCACCGTTTAATTTACGTACCAACACGTGAGGTATTTGTCAATCATAACTTTAACTGTACATATTTGATTTAATTCGTACTCACCTTCTGAATGGATGTTTCTTCTGAGTCTTCTGAGTTCGTTGTCACATCAGGATTTGCTTTGTCCAGTTGGGTAATGTCTTGAAGATCAATGGACTGCACAGAGTTGCTTAACTCGTCGGCATACATAGCACTGCAAACCAGTAACAAAGGGATAACGTATGTAAAGATTTTAGTAGTTATTGGTATCCTTAAGTAACTACTGCTAAGTGTATATAATGAAACCCACTGAAGTTTAACATAATTACAAAGCACAAATGAAATTAAAAACTAAACATCCAAACGTGGACGGTCTTACGAATACCCTGAAAAATGTAAATACCGGATTTGCTGTGATAATGACAAAAGTATTTTATTATAACTACAGCATACAGAAAGTTGGGAATATATCTGCAAGATTCTTTATGCAAACACCACTTGTTAGAAATACATTTTATTTCGAATCAAAGTTATACGAGGATAGTTCATGCACAGATCCCTGGTTAACGATTGTAATGACATGAACGGCAAGTGAGATATCTGGTACATTTGATGGCAGGTTTGAATCTACACTGAATGACTTGTATTGTTATATAACTGACCACAGACCCAAGATATTTTTTTCCCAAAGGTTACTGGAAATGTCACTGGAGGTACCTACTAGACTCTTGACTTCAGATCGATTATGTTAAAATGATGTCCGGGAACCCAAAATCGTTAAGATAGATCAAAACAACTTTCAGGAAACCATAACATTCCCCTATTTTGGTTCCCACTAGTTCTATTCATTCCATGCAGGCTCATCTGTAAAAAGAGTACCGTCATCTTAGTTTCCGACTTTTAGTTTAAAACATCTGTCGACAAATACTTCATTAAAAAGTCAGAAATCAGCAATGCGGCTTAAAAGCCTATGTGAAATGACAAGATTTCTTAAAGCCGACCTTCTTTCCGCCTTACTATTGCATATCACTACAGAAAACAGCTATCATTACTTTTCCCAAATATACCACGTAAGATAATCCGGATGCTAATTAAAAGACGAATGTATTAATCAGCAGGTTACGTATTTATTCATGACAATAAATAACCACCGAACAGAAGATATGTTTCCGAGAGTTACCTGATCGATTGCATCCCAGTGAGCAATACTGATATTAGGTATAGAATACTAATAAGTAATAAATTAGTCGTTCATGACTAACATCATTTCAAAGGGTCTTAGGATATGTCGTTTTCTCACTTACCGCTCTTCTTGACCCATTATGATCTATAGCATAAAAGTGGATTGGGATAAGATAATAAATAACCAGACAAAGAATTTGCACGAGCTTGGTAAACCATCAGCCCTTAGTCTGAGTCATGTATGGAAGTGTAGCTTGTATGGCTGAAGTCCGATGATATGACTCGCGATTAGTCTTGTTGACTCACATATATTCACTTTCTTTTTTTACTGTAGTGTTATACACCGATGTTTCCGCCTTCTTTATTATTTGTCCAGACTGCAAAACTAAGAACCAATATTTCTTATACAGGGTTCGCATTTAGGAGACAAGAAATAGAGTTTAGAAGTTTGCAAACTTTTGCCAAGAGAAACTAGAAAACTGAATTTTGTTTTACCTGTTCAATCACATATCTAATTAGAAAGTAAGTTTTTGAGAGGCCAATTTAAGAGGCTTTTACGCTCAGAAGTATAATAACGAAACTGAATACTAGCACACAGAAAAAAACAGTATTTAATAGTCACTTCACTTAAAAGCTCGTAGTAGACTTCGGTGTGATAAAATCCGTTCAAGTAAAGAGCCTTTAATAGTGTGATATACTTGGTAGTTATCTCTTCTTTATAACACTATGTTATCATGGAGTTCTGAATGACAAACATTGATTGTTTTAGACATGAAGTGCTTTTTATTAAGTATGAATTGAGATTATATTCGCGGACGAGTTATTGTGAGACTTTTACAAGACCCATGTTTCATACAGAAAAACATCTGCTGACACATGAAGACAAATCTTTTGTTGTCTAACTAGGCTGGTTAACCTCATACTTCACTATGGAAAATGATTTTAAGAGTCAATATATTTGATGCTTAGTAATTTATTGCTGTTTCACGAGGATCTACGAAGGAACTATGGAGAGGGATCCGCAATGATAGCAAAGAGTATCGGGTAATCTAATCACGCTGAAAATGTCACTGGCCTGAATGGATTCTCACTAATTTTAAACCCAAGGATAATTAGCTTTTAAAAAATTTTAGAAACAGAGAATTTTATACTTTATTAGCAGGGTTTCAAGTAATGACACGAAGGTTTATATTATCTATTTCAAAACCTCGTCCTGTTACCAGATATAAACATGGCAACCTGAAAGTGTTGCCACTGCCTATGACAATCTACTACAAAAAGTTACAATAGACCTTGGATATTATGGTTGTACCTCAAAAGTTTTAGGGAAATCTACTTCTGTACCACGAATCCTTTAGTTATGGCGGTGACTAGGTTAATACGCCCAACCATGAGGGAAGACAGACGAAACATATTTGGTTGGATTAACCATATTTCCACCAGCACCAGGCAGGTAGACGACTTTTTAGTGTTGATCGAATAGTCTAGGTCCAATTATATAATTGGTTAGTCAAGATTAAGGTAAATTACCAGCTATATAGCTTATGACAGAGAATGTCCTAGCAGAATACTCCATAGTCCCGCATTAGAGCCTTTGTTTATTTGTATAGATAACCTCCACAGAACTAATGTTAACCGGTTTTAACTTAAGTTATGGAAAAAAATCACAACTAGAAGAATGAAATAAGATTTTGGAATGACCTGACTCGAACTCGAAGTCTAGTGAAAATGTCGTCAGTTTGATGAGCATTTTTATCCTCTACAGAGTGCATGATATTGCCATTTTTGAAGTAGGTGGCTGGAAAAATCTTGAGAAATAAACGGAACGTTTATCCGTCAAACTAAACAAGAATATTTCCGAGTTAATCTAAATTTGGCCCTAAATGAATTAAGATCACAGTTAGCATATGATTTTGTGAGCTAGCTGAAGAATTTCGTCTCGTCGATATAAAGTACTGTCTACACATTAACGGTGTCCATAGAAAAACAAACAGATTCAAAACACTTCACTTACAAGGACAAACTGAACGACACAAACTCCCGGGCAAATCTGAAAACATTTGCCGTGAGTTATTCTAACAATATTTCCTATTTTAAAATAAGATAATATTCTATGGCCTTCTGCATTGGGGGTTGAAGATCATGGGCAAGTTGTTTCGTCATGACTACAACACTAATTTACTTTTGCCCTTAGAATTATTTATATGGTTCAAATAGAAGAAACTTTCGCTTAACGGGCTTCCGTGTCTGATAGCAGCGGATCACCAATATCTCCAGGTAGAAATCTATGGATATTAACAATAAGAAAGAAATTGATAATTCATAGTAAGACACTATCCTTAGTCCTTAAGAATATGTCAAGTTTTCTTTTAAAGGACTCCTGGAAAGTCGCTTGGGCTAGCTCAGTCGGCAGCGAATTCCAGCATTTGACTACTCTTAAGGAGTAGAAGTTGTGTTGACAGTCTGTTCTGCTCAGTTTTGTCTCCAGTTTCCGGGTACTACCTCTTAGGTTTGTGTTGGAGCTAAACTTAAGTAGGTGTTTTAATGGATGTACAGAAGAGTTAAGGATGCTGTAAACCATTAGAAGATCACCTCTAAGATGCCTGTAGTCTAATGGGTAAAGATCTAGTGATTAGGGGCGCTCTTCATAAGGTTTGAATTTGAGTTCCCGAACTGATTTCGTGGCTCGCCGCTGGACAAGTTCCACAGTTTCCTTATCCTTTTGGAGTGACGGAGGAGAAACTATGTTTCCGTACTCGAAATGGGGACGAATAAAACTGTTGCAGATTATGTGGAAAGACATTTTTGTCACAGTTAGCATAAGACTTCAAATCGTAGGGCACCAGCATTGCTAAATCTTTTTTAACCTGAGGATACTTCTAAACGGGAGTTACCTATATTGTATCTGTAGTCTGTAACATGTCTCCAATGAACTACTTTACACTTTGAAGTGTTAAAGGTAAATCTGTTGTTATCTGCCCAACTTTCAAGTCGAGTCAGACCCTCCTGAAGTATCAGTATATCATCTTTGTTGAGTATTTCTCTCCAAAGTTTCACATCATCAGCGAAAAGTAATAACTCAGACGATACTTGTGGAAGATCATTTATACAAATCAAGAAGAGAAGAGGTCCTGGTACTGAGCCCTGGGGGACTCCACTTGGACATTCTATAGCCTGAGATGAAGTAAAGTTAACCCTGACCTTAATATGTCGATGTTTAGACATGAAGTGGACCAATCAATTAGAGGTGATTTGATACTCAATCGTTCGAGCTTATTGATAAGACATATATGGTTTACCCTATCAAAGGCTTTTGAGAAGTCAAGGTAAATGACGTCAACTTTCCCTTTGCGATCAAGGATGGTTGTCCGTCTGTCCACCTCAGTCAGCAGATTTGTTATACAAGAGTGACCCCTCCTGAAACCATGTTGTTGGGGTGAAAAGAAGTTCATAGATAATAAATAGTCGTGCCGACCATCGCATATCAATGACTCAATAACTTTTGAAGGTATAGAGAGAAGAGCCACCGGTCGGTAGCTTGGGTGTTCTTTGCGTCAACCTCCTTTGAATATTGGTGTGATGTGAGCCAGCTTCTCAATTTCTAGTAATGTGACTGGGCTTAGCGAGTGTGAGAACATCACACTAAGCTGTTTCCCTCAGTATAGCAGAATGAACCATTTCCGGACCAGAAGTAGTCTCATTTTTAGGTGCTGCAGTTTCCGGTGCACCAAGCAGAGCTCAGGTTCGCTTTTCAAAGTCCTGTTCAGTTGCAGGTGAAATTTTCATCAGTAAAGTTAATGTGTGTGGGTTGAAATATCCGGGGGTACTGTTCAACCAGGAGACCAGCAGTGTCATCGCAGTTTGCAAACTCCAGTTCGCGCTTATCGAAAAGAGGTTGCATAACGGAATAAGCTTTTCGGATTGGAGACAAATTTATCGATTAGTTTTATCTGCTACTGAAGCCTGTCTTCTTTTATTGCCTTTGTGCATACGTTACTCATATGTTTGTATCGCATGTACGCGCCGTTGTTATCAGTTCATTTGTATTCTGCCCAACAGTGCATTTTGAGGCTTAGTGCTACCAACTTGTGGTGGTGGTAGGTTATTAAATGTATCACATAATACTCCCATTGGCAAAGCTTTGAGTTTAGATGACTGAAAAATTTTTGTATCTCGCAGTTGATTGATGTGCCTATTAACTAGTGTGTTTCTGACCATAACTTTATACAATATCGTCCCACGTCTTTTTATAATACATCCAAATATCCATTTTGGCTTGCCAAGCCGGAAAACACGTGCATAGAGTAAGTCACCTGATTTAAGTTCTCGACCCTTCGGGCAATCCCCTTTCTTATATTTTGTAGTCCGATCATTCTGTATTTCGGGTTCATAACATTAGAAAGTGTTTGAATTGATCGACTAAATATGATTCCATTTAGTGATTTCCCGTCTTGACAGTTTGAACTAGGTGTAATTCTATAAGAAATTAGAAACTGTTGCAGAGCATCTTTTACATTATCTTCTCACACATTTACTTTCAGCAGTATAAAGAGAAGCAATATGATCCTGATGCTGCTTTTTTATCTCAGCACATGAATACGTTCGCGGTCAATGAGTGGTTATAAGTAAAATTAATATCAATCATAGTGCTACCGAGAGTAGCTTCACTTCCAAAGTGATCGAGGCGTCCACAGAGATTTATTCATTGTGCCGAACGACGAAATGCCATTATTTCTGATCTAAATGTTTCACGATTTCCCTTTAACAATGAAGCGAGAAAGTGCTTGGACATATGCAAAATAAAGAGGCAATTCTAGCCTACTCAAAATGGGAGTTTGTAGTGGTATTGGAGATAACCATATAATCCTCAAAGCTGAACGTGAAATAACTAGGAAACTAGATATCCAACACTTAACACGAAGAAAGGGCAAAAATGGTGAACGCAAGACTATTCAATCAGCGGATGACATAGCTCAGCCCAGCAGACGTGGTTATTCGTGTAATTTGTCTTTGTTCACATTAAATATGTTATCCTATGTTTAGACTAAATGTGTTCTTCAGAAGTACTGAGTATCATATTGGTAATTGAAGTCAGTGTAAACAATGGTGTGGCTTCCATGTAAGGCCTTATAGATTACGCAGTCACTTAATAGCATTTCTACAATTCTACTATTTCGTCTATTATTATTATAGTACTAATGACGAAGTAGACCAAAGTTCTACGTGTTAACATATTTGTACGATATAGGGCTGTTAAAGATTCGCAGATGGCATTCGAAGTCACATTTTCATTGAGATGAACAAGTTACGAAATTGGTGGACTCATTATTTTTTTCAATACAAATTCTTCCGAACCTACAGAAAGCTCTTTACTCGAGCACTACCATTCGAGTCAGAGCTCACGGCGAACTGTCCTCTGCTTTTGCAACCTCAAGGGGTGTCCAATAAGGCTATCCACAATCTCCATTTCCGTCCAATTTCATCATAGAACCACTGCTAGAAATAACATTCTCATTGACTGAATTTTCAGGAATAGATCTCCTTCCAGAAATACCAATTACCGACTTAGAATACTCAGATGACATAGTCTTGTTTGGTGGAGATGCTGATGTAATGCAGTCTTTTGATAGCACTGAGCAACAATGCCAGAATGTTTGGGATGCATTTCACCCCTCTAAATACAAGTTGTTACTTCACGACTGGCCTGCGTCAACACATGAACTAAGGATAGGGAGTGAAGAAACCGAACTAATTAACAACTTTCCTTATCTTGGAAGTCTGATCACTCCTAATGGGTTGGTGTCTGACCAAATTTCTGCACGGATTCGAAAAGCTCGCATGGCTTTTGCCAACTTACGTCACCTATGGCGAAAGCGAACTATCCGTCCATCAATTAAGGGACGAGCGCACTGCGTGGCAGTTCGTTCTGTTTCATTTTACGGCTGCGAAACGTAGCTATTAAGAGTAGAAGATACTCGTAAATTACTTCTATTTGACCAAAAGTGCCTTAGAAATATCACTCGCATCTGCTGGGGTCACCGGGCAAGCAATAGTGAGGTTAGACGCAGCGTATTAGGGAATGATGGTAAATCAGTTGATGAGGTTGTGAATCTTCACAGACAGAGATGGTTGGGCCACGTTTTACGTATACTTGGACACCGATTACCTAGATGCTGACTAGTGTTGGAGACAGTTGAAAGTTAGTAGTGGCCAAAACAAAGCGCAGCATCAGTCCTTGAAGTCACTAACTTCTAGTCTGAGCCATGTTGTTATATGTAGACTGCTTGGTTGGGGTCTGCGTGACTGTCGTAACCGATGGTTGGAGACTCTTGGTGACATGGCTGAGAATCGATCATAATGACTTAGGTGTATACACTCTCTGTCTTCCCTTAAACGGTGAGATTAAAATTGCTTTATACCTTTCTTTCTACGAACAAGTCCGCGCTTCCTATGTTATATTCTTATACATAATCTTCCGTTGATATATTACTACCATTGAAGTAACTAATTCTACGAATTTGATGTTCATGTTGTTGTGGTAATTAGGTATGAACACTTGGACCGATGCAAATATGTGCCTGGTCCTATGTTGCAGCTGACCGAAGTACTGAGTGACTGACAGAAAGCGTGTGGAAGTCATCACAACTTGAAGTGGGATGTGGGCTTTACACCGATGAGTTTAGTGCATTCATATCAACCTTATATCCTGACCACTACACTTCGATTAACATTTGTTTATTCGATTATTCCAACTTCAGTAGCACATTCACAACCATTACCGATAAGCTGTTTCCCAAGTCCATTCGATCCATCTTTAAACATTAGCCATGTTATTAAGTTTACCCCGGTTGTTCAGTGGCACGCAACTGACTTCTTTGTAGATTCTTCACACCGGAGAGGAATAAATGCTTTTCTCTAAAGGCCTGATCTAGTAGGAACTGGAGCGTAATAATAGGATGTCTTTCCTGCTGCTTCCATGTTATCGTGTTATGAATAGATCAGCCCAAACCTCGGTACTTGAGAATGCGTTTCGTGAATCTTGTTTGTACC